GTGCGAGGGAGATTCATGCCACCGTTTCCCAGTTTTGAAAAGGAAAAAGATATGATTTGCTTCCACACATGGCCTCCTGGCCATGCTTTGGCCCCTGCTATTTTTGGATAGATAGAATTTAGTGCGAGCCTCTGTTCAGACTGAGTGTGCATCATTGTCTTGCCAAGAAGTGTTGCTCAGTGGGGTGGATAATGCTTCTGGCCAGTATTTAGATTATGCAACAAAGAAACTCTGTTGAATTCATTACTTGTTTTTTAGGTGCTGTGGCAGCCACATAAATGTGAATAATCTAACATGTGTCTGTTTATACTTCCAGTGAAGACCACGGAGGACAGGCAGCCAATAGTGAGTCAGGAAACTGAGCAACCCTCAGTGCCTGTACACACAGGTAGCCTTCCATATCACACCTTTTCCCCACTTACACAGCTTTGCATTCTTTCATCTCCTCTCTGCACTTTCTATGCATTTTTTCTCAAACTCCTAGTTTGTCTTAGAGACAAAGCTTTGCTTTTTTTTTCTTGTTTTCCTTCATTATTTACATGTTTTAAAGAGCCGAAAGCAAATCTAAATCTTAAATCTACTGACTAATCCACTTTTGCTGCCATTATAGGTGAAACTCTATTTCTATGTTAACTAAATGTAAATGCAGTGGGCAGTGAGCAACCCCGTGTTTGTGGCACATTGGAGTTTGCAAGGGCAGGGAAGAAGAAAGGATTTAAGACCAGGATGAAAAGGTTGAGACAGTGTGTAAGGGCAGTAAAGCTAAAAAGGAGAAAAAAGAGTGAAGGGGACGACCAGGAGATGGGATCAGAAAAGAGAAAAGGAACAGGGTCAGTGGGAGAGTATAGGAAAGTAGATATGCAGGTGGGGCGTACGGCAGCACATTCCCCTGCCACCACGTCGTGTTTTTACAGTCTGTGTGATAAATAGGTGGATCGTTTTCAAACAGCCGGCTTGATTGTTGCTCTGTCATGAGCTTAGATCAGCTGCCATTTTCAGGGAGGCAGCCAGAAAATTCCTGATAGGATGTTTGGCTGTGCGTGCAAGGAGGATGTAGCTGTGTTACATTTGGCAGTGCAAGCATAAAAAAAAACCAGTCATTCACAAGCTGCAGGAGCGTGTACTTGCATACTGTGTGCGCACACTGCATGCTGTTATATGTACATGATTTTAAACTCGGCCTGCATGAAAGTCTGAGTTGCCTACAGGTGTGTGTGTGTGTGTGTGTGTGTGTGTGTGTGTGTGTGTGTGTGTGTGTGCACGCGCACGCACCCCGTGTGGCACAGCCTGCACTGACTTGTTGCTGAGCCCGCTACCCTCGGTAGCTGCAGTTCACAAAGCTTCTCTCACTCAAAGGTCTCCTTAGTACAAAAGCCAATGCTTCACACTCACCACTGGAATGTTGTTTCGCACTTACACAAACACACACACATATCTATACGTGCACACATAACGCATACACTTCCTGCATGTCCATACAGGCAGATATTTGCCCACACACAGAGACACACGTGCACACTCATCTAGAATAAGATAACCCTGGGGTGATTAGATTGAATAAGTACTGTAAAAACACTGTCATTGTAAACCATTAGAATGTTCACTACATGCCAGATAAGTGCACCGAGAGTGTAATGGGTGAATGTGAGTCTTGCCATGAACCTGACAGTTTCCAGTGTAACAGCGGAGGACGCTGGAGCTCTGGAATTAGCTTCCTTGTGCAGACTTGTCATGTCGGTGACCTTCTGCCAGAGGACAACATACAGTAGAATACCTATACAGGCATTCCTTCAGCTGATTTTTGGTCATCATACATAAAAAAATTTTTGGTTACAGACTTTACAAAATTCCCACATCATATTTGTCTTAAATTTGTTTAACTCTCACCATATGTGCTGCAGGCCTCAAAGAAGGAAACTCTGATTGCAGGCTACTCAGAATAAAGCGAACTTTCATAAAGCTATACCTTGAAAAGACCGATTCAAGCCTAGCACGCTTATACGAGGAGACAACATTTTAAGCAAGGTGCGACCCCTGCTGTGTGTGATGTGGTATTGCTCCTCAAGAGGTCCAGATGTGCAGTATATTAGAGGTGTCCTGTGGAGCTGTCTCGCAAGCCAGCAGGGTTAGGTTTAGATTTAGTTTTGCTAGCCAGGATTACGATCTGCATCCTGCAGGTCTAAAAACATTTTTCTTTCTCACAGTTTACATCACTATTTACTTCTTAAAAGTCTTCCTCATCCCTGTGTTGAAACATTGATATGTTTTTCGTGGCACATTACCACCCCCTGTAGTTTAGTGTAGGAGTACAACACCAACTATATATATATTCACATCAGGACAGATTTTTAGAGTATCCATGACAGCCAGAACTTTCATTTTTATCTCGCCTACCTTGTCTCTGTGTTTCTCACTAACCCTGTTCTCTCCAGGCGAAGAGGAGCAGGGCTCTATGGCAGAGGTGTCCTACTACTCCTATGAATACGACCCAGACTCTGATCCTTTCCTTGCTGATGCAGAGGGAGGGGACCATTTTGATCTTCCTGAAGGCGGCAGGGGTGTGGAGCATAACGTGCTCCTGCCAGTAGATTCCCAGCTACCCACACTGGACACAAAAAACACCCCTGAGCGATGGTATGAGCTACATCTTTGATGTATTTGTTTAACAGACTTTGGATTAGTAGACCTCTCTGATGTTTTCTAGGTATCTGGAAGAGTCTGTTGTGGATATTCATCTTTGGTAATAATGTTAAAGGAATAAAAAAGCAGTTGTACATCTCCCAATATTATGTCTCCACAGACTTCAGCAAGACTTTCCCCTATAAAGAGGACATTTAATCTCCCCTGTTCCCAAATGACACCTCGGTATATATCAATAAAGTGGTTTGATGACCATTAGCTTTCCAGTTTTTCCAAGGGTAGCTGCACAGGGAGAGACTGTCCTCACTTACTTTTGATAAAAACCCAGTCACTTTGTTTTAAAGGCTTCAAGAGTTACTCCTAGGAGGCTTTCAAGGGATAAAGAGTTAAAGATGATCCTTTAAAGAACATATGTTCTGTTTTCTTGTCATCTACAGAAACACTCCCAGAGTGAAGCCATACCCACCTCCGAATTGTACATTATTTGTGAATATGCTAGTGAATGGAAAGAGAAGAGAGACTTGCTGAAAGGAAGACATGGGGGGGTCTGGAGAATGAGTGTTTGACCTTGTGTGAGTCAGAGTGGATGCATTTATAAGCCTGTGTGTGCGCTTGGATGTGACTGTGTACGTTTTTCATTAAGCTAGTATCCTCCAGACTTGTATTTTTCTTCCTCTAGACTCCTAGTAATCAATAGGCACAATATCATATTTGTTAATCACTGTACTGCCTTAATAATCACTAGAAGAAATAATCAAGTATTTATGTTTGTAATTACACCTGATGTTATGCAGCGTATTTTGTTATATTTTCTATCTGTGGTATTTATTTTTAGATAGAGATCATATCATTTTTATTTTCTAAGTCGCCCCCTCAGTACAATCTACCTGCCCCTTGTGGATTTTTAAGATGTATGCTATACTATCCAAGGCATTTTTCTTTTTCTTTCATAGCAAGCTTTAACCCAGTTATTGCAATGTTTGATGAAATTCCTCTTCTGGTATCCTGCTGGAAAACAGACATATGCTAACCATATGCTTTACGGAAACATAAGCTGAAATGTTTTTCATTTTAAAGATTTTTGGGGGGCATTTTTGTCTTATTAGACAGCAGAGTAGAGATTGACAAGAAACACAAGGAGGCAGAAGGGGACTGGCATGCAACAAAGGCCTCTGGCCGACTCTGACTTTACAGTTCGACCCAGCTGTAGTGTTTCTGAAACTATTCTGCCAAGATACCAGCTTCTCCTCTCACCATTGAGATTTGATTGTACAGCTCATAAGCTATTTTGTTTTTTTGTTCAATTTTGATCTTTGAAGCAGTCAAGTTAAAAATATTAAAGAATAATAAAGAATGAAGTTTTGATTTCTGTAAAAGTACCAAATTTGATCAAATGTAACCCAGATCGATATCAAATATTGTGATTTTTAAAACAAATGAGAATAAAATTTGTATGCAGTTTAGGCCTTTGGTTTTGTTACTTCACTACCTGTGTTTCTCCAACTGACTCACTGAGATATCTGCATCTGCAGCACAGTACGTGTCTCTTTTTTCAACTAGCAGAGCTGCAGTGCAGTTCTTTATGAGAGATGTGTTGCTCCATTTCCCTTAAATGGACGGTGAAGTCAGCAGTCAACTGTATTATACTCAGCTGTTTCAAAGGGCCTTCTGCTTTCACTCTCTTATTCCTTGTATGTAGCTGCATTAGAGACAGAAAGCATGTTAGTGTGTGTGAATTTGTACCGAACTGCATAGAATAGAATAGAATAGAATAGAATAGCCTTTATTGTCATTGTACAGAGTACAGCAAAATTGGAGTGCCACTCGCTTGGTGCAAGATTCAATAATAAATATAAATGTAAAATATAAAAAGTACAATAAAACAATCGCAAGTATTCAAACAATAGTAAATAAGATATATACAGGATAGCAGCATACTTGCACATGTTTGAGCCTTAATGTGTTGGTGTTATTTAGGTTGCCAAAGGAGGGCCCCCCCAGGAGAGAGTTAAAGCCTGTGAAAGTTTAATGTTTGCTTACTGCACGTCACTTGTCGACCCTCTCGGTTACAGTTGTCTCTGGAAACTGGCAGCTCAGGCCTTTAAACCGAATCAAATCAACACATAACTGTGTCTGGAAAGTGTGCTTGGCTCGAGGTTAAGGTTGATAAATCAGGGGGTTGTTAATTCACTGTGTATTCCATCAGTTCAACGGGAGATGCCAAAATACAGGTTCATGTGTGCTGCACTACATTTGACTCTGGTTTGGGGTTTTATAGCGTGTACTCTGCATCAAAGCGTTGCTGTGCTTGTCCGTTCATCTTCTCTCTGCGTTCGTACTTACAGAAATAATATAAAGCCATGTGGCTGCACTGTATAGAGATCTGGTACCGTCAGCAGCGTGAGGCCAAATTTGAAGTTATCAAACTGAGCAGTGACAGCTGATGTAGCTGCTCATTCTGAATGGAAAACTTTGTTCTTGTTGTGACAACGAGGCAGCGGTGCAGGGGACCAGGCTGCAGCAAGCAGTCTCCGTGGCAACTGTACGCATGGCTGAAGAGTGATATTGCGTCTCCACGCTGTGATGAGCAGAAAGAGTCAAAAGAGAAAGGACGGAGAGGGGGATCTTGGTTTCATGGTTTGCGGGGGGAGCGAGCTAGCGTTACATGAGAGTGAATCGGAGTGATGACATTGTTTCTAAGTGCCAGCTGAGTGCACCTATACACCTACCCCCATGGAGGAAGGGCTAATGACCTGTCCAAGCATCCACTGATGAAGCATTTGGACAAAGGGGCAAACGGGCAGACAGAGTAAACCCTATCCAGGGTAGATCCTCCTCTGTTGTTGACACTTTGACAAGCATTATAGGTCTCAGGTTTCCTGATTGCTTTGGAGGAAATTGGTGATTGATCCTAGATCAGGCAGGGTTCTGGGTTTCTAAAGTCACCTGGGGCTTTGGTGATGCTGGATCAAGAGGAAGCACAGATGTCTAACAAAAAAGAAACAGACAATAGACCAAGAGCAGCCTGAATGAAGGAATCACTTGCGCCTCTGAATCTGATGACTGAATTTCCTGAAGCCTGCCTCACTTTTAGCTGAAAAGGGACATTACCTGTGCAAAGACCCCAGTTCAGCTATTTTTATTTATTTATTTTTAAATGGTTTTACGAGCATATAATGCCCAGAGCAATCTGATACTTCTATAGAACCACTACCATTGCTGGACTCCTGAAGTAACTATCAATTCTGCAAAGAGTAAGATGGAGAAAAAATACCCAGTAATTGCTGGACGAGAAAAAGGTAAGTCATCGTGAATAATGATCATGGTTCTTTTTTTAAATGTAAATTAATATTTACAAATAAATATCAGTAGCTTAATATACTGCAGTTAAGCAGAGTGGGTCGTTTTACAGTGGGCAGACCTGTCAGGACTTGCTCCACTCTGTGAAAAAATGCTCCCACCTTGTTAGCTGTTTGACATAGTGTGCATAATAGTGTTTCATTCAAGGCTGAAAACTGGAAGGCTAATCTCTAAAATTCACATGAATATTAATTTGTATTGTCTAGTTATCTTAGGCAAAATTATACAGACCTTATTTGCAGAGAACCTTACATAAAGCTGCGTTCACAATCAAAGGAGCCACTGTCACTTTAGAATTTTCCACATGTATGATTTTTGTAAACTGGATGTAATTTAAGACACTTGTATTTTGAGGTTATGGCAACTTTGTGACATCTTCTGCTGTTTCAAGGGCCTGGACCTGGTCGCTATGGGCTTCCTCCCACTATTGGATTTATTGGCCATGACTTCACAAAGTCAACTAGCCCTGCCTACACTTTCCATGGAAGGATGACTGATAATAGTGAGCCCCGCTCTTGCTTTATGGTTTATCAGAAGTGGGTACTTTGAGGGCTAGTTTTCAAGTTTAACTTAAAGCTAACTAAAGTTTTACTTTTTTTTTTGCAGATTTTTTTCTTTTTATTTATTCTATGACTAACTAAATAACGCCATTTTTTTGTCAAACTGCTGATTTAGGACACAAATTAGCTGAAAGCATTACAGTCACCAATACACACGTTTCACAGAATTTGTGTACAGTAATTTATAATGTTTATGTCTTTGTTTTCACAATGATTTCCTCTCCTGTAAAAATGATCTCACAAAAATTTCCGTTTGGTGTGATGTCAAATTCAACCACTAGGTGGAGACAAGACGTTTTTCTTCACTTTTTGTTATTTTTTTTAAACTGCATCTACAGATTTTCAGGATCAAATCAAACTAAGCAAAAAGAATGAAAAGAAGTTTACTCTTTAAAAATATACATTTGTAATTATCCAATTAATTTTTAACAGTGTATAGTGTTGACTCCAGTCCAGGGCCTCAGTATCACATTGATGCAAGAATCACTCGATTTGGAAAGGATGGCACACCTGCATACTCAATGCTGGGTAAAGTCAAAGCCCAGAGTAAGTATGCTTTCCTTCATTATTGGAGTTTATTTTAAAATTAATTGTGACATATTGTATATCAGTCAGATCAATAGATTAGTGAAGAAAACATGTACTTTTGACTCTTCTGGAGAACCCCATGTGATTGTCTTCTGCTCACTAGAGGAGCTTTTCCACACACCAGGACCCGGTGCATACAGCCCTGAGAGAGCCCCACCATGCAACCTGCAGCGCAGACCTCCATCCTACACCATGGGCTCTCGCACACACTACCGCAGTGTTGACTCGGTCCCAGCTCCCAACAAGTACTCTCTACCGCCACTTATGGGCGCTCAAGTCCCAAACAAGGCATCCAGTGCAAGCTACACAATATCAGGTGGTCTCAGCATAGGGGGACCATCTGAGGATTTAGCCAAGACTCCTGCGCCTTGCAGATACAATAGTACAGACCCAAATGTTTATCTGCTCCGACGGCCAGCGTTTTCCATGTCGGGACGTCACAGTTTACCCAGAGATGGCACCAAGAAACCAGGTCCAGGAACATATAATCCAGAGAAAGTTACAGTCCACAAGGCCCGGGCACCAGCCTACTCCCTGGGTATCAGACACTCAGAATTTGTTACTCCACTTATTGTCAATATTTCTGACTAAACAGTCATCTGAGAGAAAATTACATCATCCTTCAATTAAATAAAAAGAAAAGCAGCAAGTATTAAGGAATTAGCATATTTTATTTGTCCAGTATCAAAGAACTTGACAAATCAACCATAACGGAGAGCCAAATGTATATCGAGAAATAACATATGCACATAAAATACATACATTCAAGGAATTATCAAGAAATGTTTTAACAAAAATGTTAGGGATGTCATTGGTTTGAGCAAAATAAAATCATATGCTCATATGGCCATTAAGTAAATAGATCAGTCTTGACAACATTACACCTAAAGATAAAAATTTTTTGTTAAATTGTACAATTGACAGGCAAACTTCCACCTTCAAATTGTTTTAAGTTATCATTCACAGTGAAAACAAGACATTTTTGTCTCTCATAACCTCTAAAAACTGAGGAAATTTGAATGAAGAAACACAAAAATATATACACACAAAACTACAGGGCATCTACACAATATATCACAACACATATAGATTTATGTGCAGGACAGATATAGGATCGAAAGACAATACATATCAGCAGAGGAGATAGCAGGTATTTTAACAGACAGCTTCCCCTTTAATCCTTTGGGAGAGGCCTTCTGAAAAGCAGTATGTGTGGCTCTAGGGAGTAAAGCAAGAAAGGATCTGTCAGCATCATCAGTAAGTCATCAAACACAGTCAAGCCTACAGCTGTACGTCGTCTACACCCAAATTTGATCGCGGCCAAATAATGCAATGTAGAAGCTGTACAATGACAGATTCAATTCTTATGTCAACTTTAGCACAATACTCATATGCTGTTGAAAGTATATTGAAGGGGTTTCAAACACAGGGGCCAAATCCAGCTCAGCAAATGCAGAGCCAAGTCAAAATTTTGTTATCAACTTTTTGAAATTGAAAAAATAAGAATTTTGAGTTAGTAAGTCAAAATCTTGAGACAATAACCTGAAATTTTAGACTTAGAGCTTTTTATTGTCATTGTGCAGTTTCTTGCACAGTGAAATTGGGTAGCTGGACCACAAAGGTGCAAAAATAAGAAGAGAAAACAATATACAACAAGGGGGGAAATAAATAAGAAAATAAAATAAAAAGCAATATATGTATACATATATGCGAGTGAAACTATATACACATGCTGTATGCGTAAGAAACATTGAAACAGAAACATTGTGGGTCTGTATACAAGGGCAATTATAAAATATAATAATTGAAATGGTATGGATGTCAAAAAAACGTTCTTATGTTTGTTTATTTTTACCAACAATAACAAGGTTCTATAGGGTAATTATTAAATGTTTTTAGTCAGTAAAACACCTTGCCGTTACCAGCGTTTCTTCACATGACTGATAATTTATGGACATTTAATTCATTTTGCTTGGATCATAAAAAACCAAACAAACACAAAAAACCAAACAAAAAACCCCCAATATTGCTTCTTTCCAAAAAAATTAACATTTAAATCTTCTCTAATTTTGTATATTCACTGTGATCTACACATTTTAATATATCTTCCTGGGAACCAAGGAAAAAAAGAATCTTCCCATTGAACTTTTTTGTGATTACCATCCTCTTTGGAGCTAAAAGAGGCCACCCAAACACATGGGATATCAATGGAAAGCCCAGAATGTCCTCCATTTAGTCCCTCAGGACTTAGTAGTATAGCTCAAATAAGTCAAAAGATATAGACCAAAAACAAATGCCCATTACAAAGGACATAAATGAATAGGCTGGTTCTCAGGAGGATGTGTCATAATGGTACTGGCTGTTTTTAAAACAAACAAACAAACAAACAAACAAACAAAACAAAACACCTTCTTGAAATTGTGCTTATTTTTCTTACAGTTTCTCAGGGTCTCAACCATCTCTCCTGTGGATGTACTACTTCTTACCCACACAAGATCAAACTAGGCTCTTATGAGTTTGGCCCTGATATAGGGTCACCATGAAAATCACCCTGATATAGTCATCCCTCTTCTTTGATACATATACCAGGAAGAGATCTGTTCATAATGGCCAATAGAATACACACCATGTAAAAAGGCTGAGCTAAAGCTAAAGGCTTCAGCGTAGAGTGAGCAATGTTATGGCCTGTAAATGGTAAGTGGCCTGTATTTGTATAGCGCTTTACACTACATTCAGTCATTCACACATTGGTGATGGCAAGCTACAATGTAGCCACAGCTGCTGTGGGGCGCACTGACAGAGGGGAGGCTGTTATAGCTTCTTTTTTTTTTTTATAATAGCAACCCTGATCATTCCCTGGAGACACTTTCCTACTCAAGTGACAGTAAACAGATGGTGAAATGTCTGGTTTAAAACAAAAAAAGAAAAGAGCCCTAAAACACATATTTGCTTTTACTGTGCTTCATAGTTTTCCAAAGGTTTGACAAATACACAGAAACGTGGTATTTTCACCACCTTAGATTCAAAGAATGATGACGTCAATTTGTAGTTCTTTAGATGCACACATGGGCGTCTGACTTAATTTTCAAGACAAGACTGAGGAAAATGTGAACTTATCCTTCACACCGTGATTACTGACCTGGTTTATGGATCATGTAGTGAATCCAGCCCTGGCTCTGTTGGACTCCAAGTCCTCTCCACTCTTCTTCTGTCATCAGGTGGGAGGAGGGCACCAGTTTGGACAGCTGCTTAGGAAGCACAACATGCCTGAGGATGGAAATATAACAAACATATTGTTAATTGCCTACTAGGGGTCAGACAGTTTATTTTGATATATTTTAATATCAACTGCTAACGCTAACACAAGAAGTCTCAATTTACAGCGGCAATAAGTTATCTCCACCACGTTCAAAAGCTACTTTGACCTTAGCTAATTACCCGAACTAAATTAACGGACTCTTGAAAACGTTAAAAACACAATACCTGTACTCGAAGTCGTCATCGGTGTACTTGTCAGAATAGAAAATCTGTTTTTTCGACATTTTCAGTTGACAAAAGCAACAAAACTGAGCTTCAAAGAGCTGATATTGGATAATGTGAACCAAATATGTTCGCTAGCAGTATCTACAAGCTCAACGAACTACTGTCATCTGCCGCTGTTTTCTGGGGATGATTCAAACCCCAACGGTTACCCGCACTCCCCTGATTGGTCAAAGCAGCAGCACGCGGACTTAACAGGATCGTCTATTCAAAGAAAGATGACTCCCTCCGCAAGGAAAACACAACCCTTGAGGCGAAGCGCTATCGCGATAGAATTTGTACATTTAACGGTATATTAGGAATGGCTATATATAAGATTAAAAAAAAAATACGTTTTAGATTTTTTAAACCCAAGGTTTGTGTTGTATTTTGAAAAGTTTGTGGTCGTTTTGTCAGATATGTTGAGAAGTTGACACAGTAAAAGATCTTCGGCTCTCAATTATCTCTGCTACGTAGTTGATCTTCTGCAAGAGAGGACTTTTGACGTAGACGAGCCGACAACGGAGGGTAAACTTTCAGGAGAAAAGTACACAGGGTTGGCGATGTATCCACTGGGGGTGAAATCGTATGTATGATTCACTTCTATACTTTCTGTTCGACCTGTGGTGTATTCACAACAGCATGGGAATATTACGGAGCCCCGCAGAACACTTAGCATGACTACATACATTTTATTATTTTTAAAAAGCACTTTTGTCATAGAACACTGAAAGTGAATATGGCAAAAATATTTAGAAAAGCATCCATCAGCATTATCAGTAAGTGATTAAACAGTACAGTCAAGATGCAGGTCGTTTACACCCAACTTTCATAGCCAAATTTTATATATATGTTTTGTATAAATAGCCTTATATTCTCAGTCTACTAACTTACTGCGAACTCATTTTACATTTTAACCAAATAACAGCTTAAATTTTCTGTGCTGCAGGTACCTTATGACGTTTTGTTGTATTAGGTTGTGTCAGTGGCTGCTAATGAGTGGTGTGTTATTCAGAGCAGGATTTGTTCCACTTGTATATGTAAATTCATGAGGTAAATCCGTTGACTCTTGAAATACAGAGAAAAAAAAATGTGTGAATTAAATTGGAATTGGTATCATTTGTAGAATGAAAGTGGAAGTAAGAGTTTGAGGAAATAACATGAACACTTTAATTTTATACATGACACTCAAGTGTTTTGCCAGGGAAAATGGGGAACAGAAAATACCGAGAAAGGCTACTGCATCTGTCAACATGCATCGATTACATCTGGTTTATCAGTAACTTTTTATACTCTAGCAAACAACCACTGCAGTGGTCATGTAGCAGCTTTCTCAGAGCCTGACACAGGTAAGATCCATGCTTCTTTCTAACTTTAAGATTGCAAATGTGTCAGTCGCATGCCTGTATAATCTATTATCTTGTTACTATTGTTCTGAATGAATTGGGCTGTAGTTTGTTTACTGTAGTTGTTCTAGAGTTGGTGTTGGATAAATGCCATGGTCTCCAGTCTTTCCAGATTCTCTGAAGCGCTGTAGAAATCCCGTGAATTACAGACCTTTCTTCAGCTTTTTGGCATGACAGAGTGTTGGGTTAGACACAATATATTTCTAGAAACTTGTTTTGGGGAATAGGTTTTCCTTCTGTCTTCTGTGTCAGTATCCTTTTTACTACTGTACCTGTTTACGTGATTCGACTGAAAATCATCGTTTAACTCGCTTTATGTTTCTCACAGAGAATCCTGACTCCTGTTGCGTACCTTCTGTTGCCTTTGTGTAAGACGGAGGAATGCAGTTGTGAGAGAGAAGCAGGAAAGAGGTTGAACGGGGGAAAGGGAAAAAGAGAGAGCAGCTAAAAGGATCTTGCTGAGATGGCTGATTGTTCTCTTGGGAGACGGTTGGGAGGGAGATGGGAAGGGAATTCAGGCAGATGGAATAGGGTGGATGTTTTTAGAGATGTAGTCCCTTAGGAGAGTGGCTGCATTGTTTTCTTTGTGAAGTCTTTGCCTATAACCAGGATCAATTATAAGCATACATCAAATCATACAAAATTCACTTTAACTAAATGGACAGGAAATTTTCTGATATTCATCAACATCCAAACTCAATACCCTAAATATTTTAACTTTATATCTCAATATAGCTAGTTCTAGAGCTTTGTTCTTCTGTTGCTGTACATTTGTGTTATTTGTTTTTATGCGATTTACAGTAGTGTTGGTTACTTTTTGAACATGTGAATTTAAATTAAGGACATTATTTTGCGTTAGTTATCAAAATGCAGAGACAGTTGAAATACAGAAGGCATAGATAAAAAAATAAACAGAAAATCCATAGATAAGAAAAATTCCAAATGATAATGAACTGACAATGGATGGGCAAGATGCTTCGGATGTTTCCAGCCTCTCGCCCAGTGTTAGCTGGGATCCCAGCTGGTTAAGTGGTTAAGTGGATGGATATATCGTTTTATTTCAGTCATATTTTTACCGTCTTAAAAGCAATGCAGCCTTTTTTATAATCTTAATATCACTGTTTTTTTTATTGTATGAGGTCAAATGCTGGCATAGAGTTCATTTGAGGAGTAGATTCCAAAATGCAATGATTACTGGCTCCAATTACTGCCTTGCTGAATGTCCTTTATGTAGAAACACAGGTGCTCTGTAGTGTCAATGTGTACGTGTGTCTGGGAGCCGGGTGGTTCAGGCAGATGTGTTTTGGCTAATACAGTCTGAGAGCAGCTGGGCAGGGCTAATAGACCAATGACATCATCCAAAGAGAGAGAGAAGAGAGAGAGCAAGACTGGGAGCACAGCTTGCCTAAGGCAGGGAGAGGGAGCGGGGCAGCTCAGTGAGGAGAGCAGCATGAGAGCGGGACAGTGTGTGTGTGTGAACGGGAGAGGACCAGACAGCATTCAGTTGACTTTGACAAGGATATAAGACCAACAAGATTTTCCTGCTAGTTTTCTCCTCCTCCTTCTTTGCACCTTTCCCCCTCCCCTTCCCCCCTTTCCCCTTTTTCCTCCATCCTGTGGCAGTTATCCCCACTCACAGGTCCTGCTTCAGGCGGCTACTCCGGGCATGCTCCTTAAGCCAAAGTATGACCGCTTTCGCAATGAGTCTGTGACCTCCTCCGACGACCTAATGCAGAGCTTAGCCATGAGCGGCAAAGTTGTGGCCACACCAGTGGTTCCCTCCTCCACGCCAAGCCTTCCTCTGCCTCCTTTGCCTCCCCTGGATCCCAGTGCCAGGTCCTCCTCTTCTGCTGGGGCTATGGCCTTGGCCGACTCTCCTTGCCTGGATGGGGAACAAGATGCCACGACAACCTTCTGCATGCTCATTCCTAAGATGCCTCAGTGGAAATTCTCCAACTCCCTGCTTAGCCGGAGTCCATCCAACTCCAGTTCCAGCTCCAATTCTAGCAAGGATTCGGGCAAGACAGCGGCAGCTACTTCCCAGGCCTCTGTCACGTCTTCTTCATCATCACACAGGCCTGGTGGTGGAGCCTCAGCCAGTGGCCCAGTGGCGAGCCTTGCAGCAGTGCTTAACTCCTGTGACCCGGTATGTGTCACTCCTTGTTCCCTACAGGCCATTCGGGGGCAGCGAGCAGTAGCAGCGGCAAATTCTGCCAGTCCAGGGGGGCACGTATTTGGAGCCGCAGAGGTCATGGCGAGCCCCGGTGGCTCCAGCAACTTCAGATCAGGAATGACGCGCAGCACAAGGGTCGAAGGCATGTGGCTTGGGGGAGAGGACTTCAACCAGAAGGGCAGCTTCATCCACAAACCCTCTCAAGGCTGGCTGCACCCTGACAAGAAGATAGTAGGACAAGGAGCATCCTACATTGTCAGGGTAAGCTAGCTGGCACTTTTTTATTTTCTTCAAAGAAATAAAAAACAACCAAAGGAAATATGCAGTAACTTTTTTCAGGTGCTCGTCAATGAGTAAAGAGAACAAGATAATTGCAGAATATTAAATATATGACCCCACTTAAATATTCTCTGTCTGACTGCACAGAAGACAAAAGGACACCTCACTATCAGGCAGTTTGTTATGCAGCTCATGTGGGAAGACTGGGGAACACATAATTTAATCCAGATAGATGGCTGAGCGTTGCTCATTGGGAGACAGCATGCAGGCGTCAGGGTGGAGAGAGATAAACCATGAAATTATGTGTACAGACTGTAGAAAGGATTGTGGTTCAGCTGCACTGTTTACCAAAGGTAGAATTTATCATACTGTACTTAAACAATGAGAATCTGTATTTATAGAGCTTGTAACTTAGGTCTGATTGTAAGCTCCCACTGCAAGCTTGTGGGAGTGGTTGCTCTTTGTTTTGTTTCGGGATTGTTTACGTTCTTGTGTGCAATGAATTATTATGATTTTACCCATAAAATGTTATTTACAGCATCTCAGCATAGTCGATACCAAATGTTTATTTCATTATCATGAAAATATGCTCAATAAAGCTTTTTTATTATTCTGTAAATTTGTATCAAAATAAACTGATACATATAGAAATGAATGTGATCATTTCAAATGATATAGATAAATCTGAGTTTCAAAGAAATCTTGTTCTCAATCCGAGCTCGCTGTGTTTACAAAGGGCTACCAGCCTGAGCAGAATGCTCGATGTCCCCTCAGCAATCCCCCATAACTGTTCACCTCTGCCCCTGTGCTCTCCTCCTCCTCAAACTAATGACATGACTCTTGATTAGCCCAGACTGGGGCCCAAGCACGCTTTCTAATAACATTATACAGGCACCATTCATTCCCATATTCAATTACATTTAATCACAGTCATTTGCATCATATGATGTGGAAGAGGATGGTTGGATCTGTATGGGAGCAGTCCAAATGTCGATTACATATGAGCTCTCACAGCCAGGAAGGGCTTTCTGAAATGGATAACAAGTGCTCTTTTCATATCTGACTCATAATCATATTAATGATGGGACCAGGCTTTTAACAGCTTGTTGTTGTCATCAGAAAATGCCCTCTGACTATTGCAGATGACCTGAAAGAGCCAGTGTTTGAACGTGTTTCACGCCTCTTGACGTAGTACTTCAGGAGACATGTATGTGCAGCATGCATTTCAATGGGAAATCTATGCAGGGAGGCGTAGTCTCTGCATGTATTAGTGTCAGAGTGACGGTTGATTTCTGCTGCACTGTGTCATTTTTAAGTAGCACGGCCACTATGCTGAGCGACTCTCATTCTCTCACTCACATATTCATACATATCCACTCCTCTGCTGGGAAAGACACAAATCAGATTTTTAGCAATGCTCCTACTCGCTCTCTCTCCCTCTCGCTCGCTGCATAGCCACGTCGAGATCTGTGTCTGGCCTGCATCTGCCGCCTCTGCTAGTCAGGATTTTGCACCGACCATCAAAACACCGCTTCTGCTAAATCATTTGCAGAGAGAGAGACAAACTGTTTCTATTTTGTGCTTTTCACTTATTTCACTATCAAAGCGAAGCATAAATATTTGCAATGTGATTGCCTGTTGCTAATTGATGCAGTTTCTAGAAGGGTCCGTAGACTTGAGTTGTTGTCATTTTACTGTCATATATTTTTGAATATGCTCTGCGTAGTGTGCAGTTAACCAGGAATAGAGAGTAACTAATCACATACTTTTATCTGATCATCCTTTACTACATGGCTGTTGTTTTGTTGTAAAATCTGATCACATTGGCTAATAAACTTCTTTTGGAAATCTTTTACAGTGACAAACGATATAATTTGGCAATTATTTATGTCAAAGGCAGCCGCTACAGCAAAACACAGCTAAAGAGGACATGCTAATGTTATTAAATTTCTAAGGAATGTGTCTTGGAAAGTCTACGTCCCTGTAGTCATAGCAATAGTGTGCAAGAGACTTGGCCAAAAGGACAAGAGTGCAGATAGGGTGATAGAAGTAGGGATGTTGCATCAGTAGATTGAGTTTGTGACAATGGAAGCATTGGCAGAGAGAGGGAAAGAAAAAAGAGAGGGACAATTTCTCTGATGGAAGACGTCCCTCATGTCCAAATCTTGTTAGTGAGCTCGTTATGTTCTCTGGCTCAGAGGTCCCACTCTGTTTCTCTCTCCGTCTCTCCAAATAAGTTTCACAAAGAGCTGTGCTTTACATCCCCGATGCAATGTGCTGCATTTAAGATGAGTGTCACATGTTTTTAAGGAGGCTGCGATTCAATCAGTGTAGCAAAAAACACAGGAAAAAATGTTAATTATTAATATTCAATGCCGCATCTGTTGTTTTTACGTATTCATGGGTTTATTTACCTATGCAGCAGGAATGTGGTAGATGGTAGAAGCTTTTTTAAATGAGTTATTATCTCCGAGTTGGTTTTTAGAGACTGATTATGGCAGGCAAACAAATGCCAAGCAATTCGTTCACCACTTCATCTTTTCATGATAACCACACAGATATGCAAATAAGATGTAGAGGGCGTACTCGCATGCTGATTGTTTACGCAAACACACTCACATCCCCCAGAGGGCTGAGAAGCTGCAGTTTATCCATGATTTGGAGCTCTGAGTGCTGCTAATCTAGTCACGGTGCCATTAGCACCCCAACCTGACAGGCATTAGGAAGCTGCTCAGCTGGGACCTTCCCACTGGAGGACACTACATTAGTGGGCTATATGGGGATTTGATTTAGATTACTGTTGAAAGTAATCACATGTACCAACAGAGTATAGTCTATTGTGAACGTAACATCTCTTTCTGGAAGTGTTGTGGTGTAGTTAAAATACAAACTTAATTTAAATGCAGCGCATGTTTATAGTTCTGTATTTTTGAATAGTTTCATTCAATTATCTTTTCAGATCATAAAACATATTTGAACATATCATGAGTTTATTTTTAAATTAAAAATAAGGTATTTAACTTAGATTTTAATGATTTTTCTCCCTTTGGTTTTTTCTTTACAGTACATGGGATGCATTGAGGTGCTGAAATCAATGCGATCCCTGGACTTCACCACACGCACTCAAGTGACAAGGTAAGCTGGTAACCGTCATATCTGACAGTGTAGATGTGTAGTATTAATTGAAGTGTGAAGAGTTTTTTTAAAATATATATATATATACTATATATAAATACTTTTGCTTTAGCATGGCCAATAGATTTACACTTGTCACATTAGTCTTTTTTTGATCAAGAGCCACAACTTTGAATTTCAAGTTTACGTTGCAGTGGAGCTGTCCAATAACTCATGCACTTGCAAGAACTACATGCATGAAGACAGCAGTATAGTGTGGGACTGTTAAGAGATAAACAGAGCTGCTGTATTTGTGTTCACTGGCATCAAAGGCCAGAAGGTTACACATTAAACTATGCCTCAGGGCCTTACTATGTCTGTGTCTTGGTGTTTTTATGCCCTACACGTCATGTTATTGTTATAAAAACAGGGTTTTTTGCAGTCCTCAACCTCATGGGAGAAGTCCTTTTCCCCACTCCCTCCCTGTCTGCCTCGCTCTCTGTCTCTCACCCTCTCCTCTCTCCTGCACAATCGATCGGCAGTAATCTGAGCCCACCGTGCATCCGAGGCTTAAGTGCAGGGGGGAGGAGGTAGCAGAGATGGAGTGATGGAGAGGGAGATCTATTATTGATGATGTTCGTTAATGACTGTAGAAAGCTGCAGTGGTCCCCATGAACGCACCCTGCTGGATAATGTCTGCGGCTGTAACTTCTTGAGGGGGGAGGAGGAGGAGGAGGAGGAAGATGTCCAAAACAAAGCAGCAAAACAAAATGTTTGCACTGGGAGTAGCCATAGAGAGTAAGATGGCTATGTCTGGTCTTGTTTTTATGTGACTGACTGAGTCATGATTATTTCCAGCAATGATGAATGTTTTTTGTTTGCATTCCTGTCGTGGTTGATTTTAAAGTCCCATTTAAGTGTGTTTACCCCTCGGTCAAGGTCAGAGGGGCCCTTTTCACCTAGTAGCTCACATAAGGCATTTTTAAAAAATTCAAAATAGGTTCAAGTCCTCCATGATGCTAACAACACAAGGCTTTTGTTCCTGGGTCTTTCCTTACTTTGTTTGCCAAAGTCATGATATGTGTGTATGTGAATTGCTGGATATCATTTAAAGGCAGCACAGTAAGGGCTTACATATCCATTCAGAACAGGTCATTCTTCAGCTTCCTGACTTATACACAACTTGATTTAGTCCTGGAAGACCACAACGAAACAGTCAGTAGCTTCCAGTATTTCAAAAATGTAATTCAGCTCCAGGATTTAAAGAAGGTGCTTTCTCTTAACAGTCCTCTCTGTGTTTTTTTGCCGTTTAACTGCAAAATGAGTGAAACGAGGTGCAGCATTTTATTGTAGTCAAAAACAACAGCTCATCTCTCCCCCCCCTCCTCTGTCTCCTCCTCCTCCTCCCTCTGCTCTCTCATCAGCATGAGTCATTCGAACATTGTGGTGTTTTTCAAAAATCCCTGAGAAGACTTTTACTCGAGATGGGGCCCGGGACGCTGCTTTTTAAATATTTACGAGCCACTTGATAGGGGCAGCTAGGCTCTTGATTGTTCCCACTGTCCCCTGGCAGAGAGCGTGTGAGCTCCCGCCTCAAATCCACTTTATGGCTCAGCCGTGCCATCATGCTCACACAGGGACAGACCCTTTAAATGCCCATTAGGCAGTCATTCCCAGGAGTTATATCAGTTTTATCGCCAACTTGTAACAAATGTGCAGGGAGAATTGCACTGCAGAAAATAAATGCTAATGCTAATGCCCTAAAGAGGTCTTATACACTATTTACTTTTTATTTTCTTCATCTGATGCTGTTTATTCTCCCATACTTTGGGAATTTAAATTCCCAAATTATTCATCAACAGATGAATGCTGTTATTGTTTCCTTTCTCGGGTTAACATTTCCAACATTAATGGATAAGAATGTTGTGACTTTCTTATCTATTTTCGTGACCTTTGAACTACGATTTGCCTACGACCTATGGGCTTGTTTGGAGGAAGGGAAAACGTCTGTTCATGTTTAACCTAACGTTTTCCATTGCTGTGGGGCGGCGTTTTGTGTTGTGACTCAGTTTTTTGTATTTTTGCACAGACAACACAAGTCCATATGATTTATACGTTATATAATATTATTATTATTACAAATGGCTGATAATCAGTGACCAGTATATTCGTCTTTAGTCTGATCTGAAATCTTTCTTCGTGTTTCTCTTTAGGGAAGCCATCAACAGACTGTGCGAAGCTGTGCCAGGTGGAAAGGGGGCTTGGAGGAAGAAGGTTAACAGTAATTTATAATTCTAACATACATGCAGTACTTTTGACAAGCAGTCAATAGTAATTTTATATACACATAAGATGTATTAAAATAACAACAAAGGGTAGAAAGGACTGCTGCTGCTCCATGCGGCTGTTTTTCTGGTAACTAATATACAGTATGACATTTTTATCTGTATCTACAACTGAAACTATATAACTGTAATTTTCATCGTATCCTTTATTTTGTAGGTTCCAAACAAAGCTCTGCAGTCAGTCATGGGGAAGAGTAACCTACGATTTGCAGGCATGAGCATCGCAGTCAATATTTCCATCGATGGTATTAATCTGCTCATTCCTACCACACGACAGGTTAGCTGATACTTAATTAAGGTGGCGAATGTACTTGCATGACCACAATGTGATTAAGACCTTTATAATGTGCCAGCTATTATTTTTGCATTTTTCTTTATTCCTATAGCTTAGCTTTACATAGACGTTAGCATATTTTCTCTCAACTGTTAATCACTGGGTAAAATATGTGCGAAATCACTGATGAGATAAAAAAAACAAATTCTTTGTTGGAAGCTTGTAGTGAACAATTTTACGCTCCTATGTGAATATTATAAATAAATACCACTTTTGTGAGGTACAGAGTCAAACCTTTAACTTTTAATTGGGACTTTGCCCAGTTGTCCATTATGTGTAGATACAACAGGTTCAGCGCTGGATTTAGGTGCCTTTTTTATGCTTGAATGAGTAATAGGCCAGAGTTAGGTGGCTAAACAAACAAACAAAAACATGAAAACAGTTAAAAAGCAGCCAATGTCCAAAGAAAAACTTTGAAAGATTTTCAGAAAACCTGGAGGGCTGTTGCTCAAGACCACTTTAAAAGAATTCAAAGAAATTTTAGCTCCTTGGAAGCAAAATATGAAGAAATGAGGGGCGGGTCAAAACTTTTACACAGTACTGTACATTCATTGACAAAATAACGAATGGCTTCCTTTCTCTTTCAGGTGATAGCTCATCATCCCTTGCAGTCCATCTCATTTGCCTCTGGGGGAGACACAGTGAGTGCAGCATTTAACATTTACTCTCCATTAAATTGTTGGAATGAACATTTTGCCTATGCAAACATGTATGACTTGAATTAATCGTTAACAGTCTCGAGCTTCAAAAATGACTGATGGTTTTGATTTATCGAGCTGATTTTCCCCCAAACTAATATGTTGCAGGACACACCTGATTATGTTGCATATGTGTCCAAAGACCCAGTGAATCAGAGAGGTATGTTCTAAAAAGGTTCCCTTTCTCCTTCCATACATTTTGCCACTAGACAAACACGTTTATTTTGTAAGGCAAAATAAGTTGCATTAGAAAATAATGTCTGTTGTCTTTTTTACTGTGGATTATAACATTACTATTGCGATATCTATAGACATTTTTTCTTAAAAATGCTTTGATTCCACCTCTAACTGTATTATGTGGTCTGTCTGTGGCTTAATTACAATTATTATGGGTTTAGGGTGGGTGAGACTGTAACAATAACAGTACAAAATCATTTAAAAACAATATTTTATTAACAATATTGATGATTTGATTTTATCATTTGCATTGTAAACATATTAGTATTTTATTTTTAAACATCACAATTATTTAAAGTATATAAAATGTGGTAATATGCCGGTGTCGTAAACCAGTATTGTTATAAAATATCAGCCTATTGCACCACAAAATATACTTTGTTGGAAATTAAATAGCTAATAAACATTGTGTTTGCTGATGTCTTAAAAAAATATTAATATTTTAAAAATCCACATATGTAGAAGCCAATAAACTATTGGCTCATTGCTGTACCGGGAGTTTGAATAGCTCGTGGCAACTTTTTAACTCCTCACTCTCTCTCTCTCTTTTTCTTTCAGCATGTCATATCCTGGAGTGTTCAGATGGTTTAGCCCAAAGTGTCATCAGTACCCTCGGCCAAGCCTTCGAGCTGCAGTTCAAACAGTATCTGCACAGTCCACCAAAAACCATGACATCTGTGGAGAGGTAACAGAAAGTCCTGCCACTTCTCATGTACTTAACTGGATAAAAAAGATGTTAAGAGTTTTTGTTACTCTCCTTAAAATCAGTGACATCGGTGAAGCGGTGGGATAGTGACTCATAAATTATCCCAACGTGTCAAATAGAAAAATCTAGTATCTTGACTTCATGTAACAAAAGCACCAAAAAACACTTCAGTTTAAGACTCCTGGGACTGTATACATCCCAAGCATTCTTACCAGCAGCTGTCAGACTCTATAATGCAGCTTAACACTCTTTTGGTCATCTTACTCACCAGCTTGTTTGTTTACTGCACATTTTATACATATCTCTGTACAATTTTTCTATTTTTCTATACATATTCTGTACATTGTTACCTGTATATACCTGTATATACAAACCTCGGTTGCTTGTGTCTTCCTTTTATATTTTACTTTCACTTGCTGTAAGAGCTCTGTAACACCGAAATTTCTCATCCGTGGGATAATAAAGGTTTATTCTATTCTAAGCATCCAGCAGAAAGAGCTTAGCCACCACCAACCTGATCTAGTTTAGAGTTCTCAGAGTTCTTTCTTATTTATTACAAGGAGATGTGATACTTTGTTCTTGTATTTCTTCAAAATCAGTCTTACAGTGTTGTAAATACATAGATTTTCTCACACATGAGATGCTACCGCAGTGATGCCACTGCAGTCACCAGAATAAGTCCAGACAAGCAGTTTGTTTCTTCCTGGTTTCAAATAAACATCTTCTCAATTTCGGATGTGGAGATGTTACTTGATCAGAACAAATCAATTTAACAACGCTGATTTCCTCCTCAAATTAATGCTGTAGCGTTAACATCATTATAGAAATGAATACATAATCATATTTGGAAGTCGTGGTTAAAATACAGTTTTTTGCTGTCTTTATTTGGACATGTAGTTCTGTTGTCAGACTTACACTCACAGTATATTTCTCCTTAGGTCTGCCAGGACAGAAGAACCAATTTGGAGGGATGATGAGGACTTCTCTGAGCCGGATTACTATAACCGTATTCCAGGGAAGGAGCCTCCTGTTGGAGGTGTGGTAGACTCCAGACTCAGGCCCAGTGGAACCCTCATTGGTCACATGCACACTCAACCACAGAGCAAGACAGCAGCTCAGGTGAGTGTCCTGACATGGCTATAGAAATACTGTTAAATCAGGCTCTGCATGTTGTAGCTCTACTGTAGCTGAATCCAGTTTTGAGGTAATTGCATATTGTGTATTTATATTTTTCGATTTGTACGGTGTATTTCTGCTTCTCCAAATTTCATCGAGAAGACCTCCAGTGCATTTTTGTGTAAAACTGTAAAACCTGCATGCTTGCACTACAGACTAAACTAAAACATCTGGTCATTATCATGAAGTATTGGATTAATGTTTCGAACAGAACTCTCTGACATCTCCCTGGTGAACTGGTGACTGATGTGTTTTCATGCTCCTGCCTCATATTGTTACATGGAATTAAAGCATAGGATCATGAAAATATACTCCATAACTGTGCCTGCAGCATAATTGCCTAAGACAAATACGATTACATGAAGAGCCTTGGGTTCTCTGTAGCCTATCAGGTGAAAGGACCCATTGCCCCCTTTGTTGCAACTTGTTCACAACAGGGTGACATGCTGCAGCTAATGTTTCAAATAGAGTGCTTCGAAACTACATTATGCAGGGACACGAGATGAGAGTTCTTGGTTATACAGATCCAGATGTATTTAGGTTGTGTTCTTGTGGTGTGATTATGTGTTAGCAGATGAGCTCACCAGCCAGGAGAGATCAAGCATCTCACCAGCCTGGTCAGCTGTGTTATGAGCTTCACTGGGACACGGAGACAACCTGCAGCTCAGGTGAGACATCCTGTGGCAGGGAGCAGCTGTAACAGCTAAAACATTGTGACCTTTTAGGTTAGTTTTTATAATACAGTTGTTATATAGAGGTGATGTACTTAACTGGGGGGATTTCAAACAGGTTTTTAAATGAAGGATTTTTTTAAAAAATATATGAGTTGCAACGTTTTCTAGTCACATACTAAACAATGAGGATTGTCAGATTTGTTTTGTGTATATATTTATGTTAAATTGTCTCTGAAGGAGGTTAGTTGTTTTTTTTCCATCCTTATTGTATTACAAAGCTAATCATCACTGTTCTCATTGCCTGAGGGAGCTCAGCGTTTGCCCTCTTAATTAACAGAAATAGGATCTTGGCATTTTTAATAAGGCCCCCTTCATACTTCATATTGTTTATCATCTTTAACTAGACTGATGCTAGGAGGATGATCAAGATAGGTACGACAATTAACCTTTTCCTTTCAAAAATATAGAAAATAATAGTTAAAATTTCCAACTACTAAAAGTTAAGTGACATTTTGTGATTTTTTTTTTTCTTTTATATAATCAGTTGTTTCCGTTAGCAGCAAACAGTGCTGTAGCACGGGGCAGAAACTAGTGAATGAAACGCATTTTGTGCGCACCTTTCTGTCTTAGGTCTGACATCAGATGGTTATTTGTGTGCTGACGGTCAGCCTCCATGCAGCAGAGACTATGAGGAGCATCAATATGTTAACACCCAGAGTCTGGAAAACCTGGATTCACTCACGCAGGGTCCTGATGGGCACAGAGGCACCAGGGCACCAGAGAGTCCCAAAAAGGATCTCTTTGACATGAGTAAGTCCTGCCTATGACATCTTCGGACATGTATATAACAGAACGACAGCCAGACTTTCTCTCAAATGTTTGATTCCCACCAGATTCCTTTTTTGACACCGTCCTTTTACGATTAACCACGGATCTTTTACTAGTTAGGCAGACCACTACACTATGAGGAAACAACAAAACCTTGTGAAACATCTCAAGCGCCTTTGTCGTCTCTGTAGGGCCCTTTGAGGATGCCCTGAAACTCCATGAGGCCTGTGGTGTTGGGTCCACTATATCTGGAGGCTCTGGTGCTGAGGGAGGAGTGGGAGGTGGTCGGCTGTTGGAGGATCAGTGGCCCAGTCCTCCACGACGCAGAGCCCCTGTTGCTCCAAATGAGGAGCAGCTTCGCCGTGAGCCCTGGTACCACAGCCGGATGAGCCGGCGAGACGCAGAAAAACTCCTGAGCCGGGACGGAGATTTTCTGGTAAGGGAGAGCACTACCAATCCTGGCCAGTATGTGCTAAGCGGCCTGCACCGTGGCCTCCCTAAACACTTACTGCTAGTGGACCCTGAAGGAGTGGTGAGTCTCTTGAGAAGTAGTTTCAATAAATCACACTGCTTATTTGTTTTGTTATGAAGTTACACTGGTGTACTCCTTTTGTTTTGCTTTTCCCTTCAAAAAAAAAGGTCCGGACCAAAGACATGTTATTTGAGAGCATAACCCACCTCGTCTCGTTTCACCTGAAGAATGAGCTGCCTATTGTAGCAGCAGAGAGTGAGCTTCATCTCAAACGGGGTGTGAGGAGGAAGCAGTGAATTACCTGGACCTGTGTGGGACTGTAAGATAGCAGTATACACTATGGACTTTTCAAACCAGATACATGAATAATTTAAGGGATTATAATGCAGACGTAAAGCAAGGAGTGCATGCTAACATTATCATTTTAAAAAGCATTGCTATTTCTTTACATTGTTGAGGTGTTCAATTTGTCTTTAACTGCAAAGGGGAGGTTCACATTTTAGCATGTAGATTATTTAGATTCACACACTTGGTTACAATAGATCTAAGTAGAAATAATGTAGTATTTCTTTCTCTTTCGTTCTACAGTGCTAAATTTCTATGTGCCCATACAAATCACATAAAAACTGAATCTAGGACTCATTATGGGATGATTTTTCAACGGGAAGAAAGAATATCAGCAATACTTTCTTTCCATGGACAATCCTTCTAAGGAGTCTGCAGTATCTGATATATCCCTGTACTTCTGCTTGTTGACTACCAGGATAAACCAAATATCCCTCATCTGTCATAAACTCCTCAGCATGCAGTTATTAAGCTAACAAACCAACCAGGATCCACAGTCTGTGCTGTGCCCGAGCTGGATAATCACCAACCGAGGTCAAAAATTAAACTGACAACCTGTCTGGAGAGGAGCTAACCTCAGGAAATCACAAAAGGATTTAATGCACAGTGAAGAAAAGCCTGTAATTGTGAAGTGCTTCCTTTAAACCACAACTTGCATGACTAGTAAGTCACAGGTTATTCAAATCAACCAGTTGTGGGAATCACCAGAACAAACTGTCACTAATTTTCTGGTGCACCAAAAAATTCAAAACAAGATGTCCAGTTCGTCCAGTAGTTCATCTCGGTACAAATGCAGGAAATGAAAATTCTGCAACTGTTTAGAATGTAAAGACTGTTAAATGCTCATGTTCAAGGTCTGCAGTATCTGAATTTATAACAGCCACAAAGCCTTTATTGTTTCTCTGAGCTATTTTAAGCCTCACATGCATCAAAAAAAAGCATAATCATGATACACCGATTAGCCCCAACATTAAAACCACTGACAGGTGAAGCGCACACCACTGATTTACCTGGGAAACATTGGGTCCTGGCATTCAAGTGGAAGCTATGTTGAGACATCAACCACGTAAACAAGTTCCAAGTAACAGCAACCTCAAGTGCTTTCCTCAGGAACAGTTGCAGAACATGACAAAGAGTGCAAGCTGTTGAAACAGCCCGCCTCCCTGCAGGTTCTGTTTTCGGCCACAAGATGGGCCAGAACAAGCCAATCCACTGCACCGACTCCATGCAAAGAGCCAGACAACACGGCGCACCCCAAAACATCACCTGCTGCACCGATCGGTCAGAGCCGTTTAGGTGGAACAAGCGGGATCTACACAATGGATGCTTTTAATGTGGCTTTAGTGTATTTATCAGTGCAGTGGAGATCGATACATTGTCCTGACTGAGAAGTTTGATCACATTTGCTATTAAATCTGCTATTTGTGCTGTTTGTAAGGGCTGTTCATTATTTTAGGAAGTCATGTGTGGTAAAAACTCCTCCGCATTAATGCTCAGTATAGCCATGCCCGTTCTCTCCAGCCTCCCCCACTTCAGTGCCTTAATAACTACACTGACAGGCGTTTGTGTCAGCGTGTATATAATGTGCATTTATGCTCTTGTTGCAAAAGAACAGTTTTCTTGCCACGCCAATGAGTAAATGAACAAACTTCAGGATGATTCAAAGTTGTGTACATGTAAACAGTAATGGAAGCTGCTCTTGTTTTGGGGTGAATGAGTAATACTGTCTATGATGGTCTTAAATGTTATCGTCTTATATGTGTGTCCCTCAGAGTTTTTAAGTCAGAGGTCAGTCATAGACATGTTAAAGAAGGAGCTTAATTTTTCCCAGCTCAGGGAAGTGCATCACTTTATTGTCCTTATTCCCTGTCTGTACATTTTACTGACTTGCTGGTGTGTTTTTGCTCCACAGCGTTTCATTCCCAGTTTTGACAGTGTAATACTTTAAAATTATTTTGTCTGCTTTCTGCCCTTTCCCCCCCTCTCTGTTCTTGGCTACTTAAGTTTAATCAGGCCCTCCTTTGTTCTTAGCCTCATAAATGCACATAAAGATGAGGTAAACTTCAACAGTTTTTTTGCGAGATCCAGATCATTGTCATTCTTTTGTATCTCCCCTCAGGAATTTCCTGGACCTTTTCTTCTATGATTAACTGACTGACTTTTTGTTAATAAAATGTATTAAAAAAAGGTGGGTTGTCATTTGTGAGCATAAGTTTAACCATCTAACCAACAAGCAAAAGATCCATGTTTAGATCCCACCTAATAGGGCACAAATCCCACTGGGGTTGTGTTTGGAACGGCATCGGATGATCAAAAATGTGCAGTGCAACTTTTTGTGAGTAAGGAAGCAGCTGAAAGTTGTTTACACCGTGTTTTTATCCTCACAAAGTATAAATGGTTGTATGCACGTATTTCAGGCATATTAGTTGGTTCAAATATTGCATCTCTAGCTTCCTTAATGTATGTGTATACTGCTGCAGAGGGTCATGGATCAGGATGGCCAGAACAGCATGCTGGCTTACATACTGTAAAATAAGGACCCTTAGTGTTTTAAATATGCATTTGACATATTACTATGCATTTTTCTCGCACACTCCATAGTATAGTTACTGGAATGGATCCTATATTTGTGTGCTAATGTATCGGGTCCACAGTTAAGCCCAGAGTCAGTCAACCGACACTCTTTGATGGATCACTTTAAAAAGAACACAGTGAACTGCAGAGAATTTATCTTCTTTTTTTAATTAAAACTATTATATAAAAAACAAAACAAATCAATGCATCTGGTATCGTCTAAATATCCACTCTGTCACATTCACATTCTGCTTTCATAAACTCCTCACATACTACACAATAAAGGCACTCCATGTTCCATTTTTCTATCGGTTGTTTGGGTTACTACATTACAAGCATGCAGCTATACCTGACCACAGATCAGTTGTATTTGGCTTTATACTGGGTACTGGTCCCACAGGCTGCTGTGATAGAGCTGCTATGCTGCCCTGTAGAGGGGACTGGAGCTGAGAGAAACTTGCAGATGCTCTAAATTTCAGTGCCCCTCGTGTGTCATCTTCAGGATCTGGAGTAGCAAATGCTGCACCTCTTCATCCATGCGACCCTGTTGACAGACGATGATGCCATCTTGAAATGAAAGGTAACCGATACTGCAAATAGCAGTCCAAGATAGTTGTATTTCCAGAAAAACAATGTTAACCACCAACTAAACATTACAATAACTGTCCCATTTTAAGAGAGGCATCAAGAAGGCAATTCCTACCTGCTAAAAGCATTAAAGGTAAGCAACTATGCAGCCAGCTCAACAACATAGAACAATAAATTATAGCTAGCACGCCAAAAGGTAATAACAAATGAACAATGAACTGAACACTAAAAATCACTGTGATCTAGATAAATCAACTGAAAAATACAGGCAGCAGCCAGTGGTACCCCTCAGGCTCCTATTAGATATACCTTTGGTATCAATTTGACATTGACCTTGAGGTCAAGGTCACTGAGATCTAAATTTGTCCGAGATTTATAGTAGATACGCCTTTGTATCAGTTTGAAACTCCTATGTTGCATCATTCATGAACGTGTGTGTTAGCGTTGCCTGCCTGGCAGGATGACTACAGTACTCGGTCTTTTACAGCTGAGGAACAACAGGGTCAACAATGTGTACGCACCTGATGTAATTATACAAAGACTGCTGTTGTGTGATCCAAAGTAGACACAGACACGCAAACAAATCCTCAACAAATTTCCATTTCAGTCCTAATTGTTGTGCATATGAGTGCACTGAACTGACCTGCACAGCTGCCAGTAAGTGTGAGCGGTATACAGTCACCACTTGTTTGTGCTTTCTCTCCCAATCCTGCAAAAAAAAAGACAATATTATTATCATATTACAGTACAAATCTGTCTACAACCCAGTCAGGCCTTTCCAGTCATCAAGTGTAGATCTTTTAACTGTTCCCAGAATTAGATCCAAGTGCACTAAAAGCTGACTTCAGTTATTGTGGTTGTGTTCATTTGAATAAGCTCCCTGCTGGCCTCAGATCAATTATATCTATCCAAACATTTAGAAAGAAAAACCACTCAAAACCTTTTTATTCGTCCAGACTTATGAGTACATTTTCACTTTGAATCTAATAGATCACCTGGAGCTGTTGAGTGAGGATGGCAATCCTATTCTGCAGAGCCATTTGCTGTCCAGGGTTACCATGATGGGTTGATGAGGAGGAAGAGGTGAATCCGAGAGGAGGCGAGAGAGCCCCCAGGGCCTCTTTCAGTCGGAACACCTCCTTTGACAGCTCTGTTATCTGCACACATATTGAACACATCACTTTTCACAACCTTGTTCTTCAAGAGCAGCCGTGAACTTCATGAACAGCTAGCATCTCACCTTGCGGTCCTTCTCTTTCACGAGGCTCTGCGATTCCTGGATGTCTTTGTGGAGTTCCTGGATATGGGTTGACTGGGCTTGTAGTTCAGCAAGTTGTTTTTGAACTGTGGCGAGCTGAGACTCTGCGACCTGCCGCTCACTCTTGTTAAAGAGTGCCTCCCTTTGTACCTGGAATACCTGCAGTAGACAAATAATACCAACAGTCTCATCCTGCCTCTTAATAAAAAAAAAAATCTCTGCATTTAGCCGTTTAGTTTATTATTTAAATGCAACAGCAGATGTGAAGGAAAATTCAATTTGGAGTGTCCCTAAAATGAGATTAGATGTACTTTATTTATCCCACATTTGGGAAGTTAATTTTTTTACAGCAATTAAAATCAGTTAAATGCAAAAATATATAATAAAAATTTAAATTAATAGGATAGTTGTATTGCTTTCTGCTGTTTTGTTATATTTTGAATTGGTAGTGCACAAGCAAATTTAGTACATGACTCAGTACACATAAGGATGGGTCATTGCAGCAAAAAGAAGTACAGAAGTAATGGAGTAGGATAATGTAAAGAAAGGCAGGAGGGCATCAAGGCCCACAGCTCATAATATCATAGACACACAGACCTCAGTGCAGGTCTTCTCGTGTTTACGAGTAAGATCGTTGAAACGGGCCGTGACGGCGTTGATCTCAGCCTGCAAAGAGAGCCGAAGGGCCTCGTGATCCTCCTTAGAAATCAGACCCTGTTCTGCAGCCTTCTGGGATTTCAGCTCTCTCAGTTCCATCTCCTTCTCACTCAGAGCATCCCGAGCTGCTGCTGCACCGCTCTCACTTTCCTGCAGGGCGTGCTGGAGCTCTGCCTGTGAGACGAGCCAGGATTAACTGAAGAGTTTTATTCCGTCTGACCATGTGTGCATTTAAAACAAACTTTTAAAATTTGGAAATTCAATATCAGTATTATCATCATCATCATCATCATCATCATCATCATATGCCATTTAATAATGTGCAAGATGGCAAGGTTCATTAACTCATTCACTGCCATTGACGTCTATAGCCGTCAATTGCAGTGAATGAGTCAATGGGTTTAACTCATTCACTGCCAATGGCTGGCAGTGAATGAGTTAACAAGGGATCTGTTTGCTTAAGAGTTGTGGCTGAATAAAATTAAAAGCAGAAGGAGAAGTCAACTAAAAGCACATGTGCACAGCTCTTACTTCTCTCCATACCTCAATAAACAATTTAAAGAAACTGCAAATGCCCATTTTGTAATTCGTTGTATTTAATATTAAAGATTTTTCAGGAAAAAAATGGAGGCATCATTCAGGCCCTGAAGTTTCATGCTTCAGATAAAATGTATTAATTTTCACTGCAGGCAGATTCACTCACAATTAGCTTTTTACAGAACAATTACAGCAACTTATTACTGTATATTGTGCACGTGAGTTAAGGTGATGAAAAAATGTGAACCTGTCCTTTACAACAGGAGGAAATGGTTTTCCTTCCATTTATCAACAAGCTTCTTCTGCTGAGTCTATATTTAACATATTTAAGAAGAGCCCGGCCTTATCAGCTACTTTTGATCACTGACCTTTTGAGCTGTTATTATCATATTTGTACATTTCTGCTGACCTTGACTTTCTCATGCTCCTCTTTGGGAATGGCATCCTGCATGGCCTGCAGTTTAGCCTCCAGTGAAGCAGCCTGCTCCTCAGCATGGCCCCGAAGGGTTTTTTCTTCCTGGAGCTCTTGCAGTGTCTGAGCAAGTTGTTCTGACACCGCCGACAGCGCCTCTTTATGTTTCGCAAGTGGCACCGTGTCCTTCAGCTGCAGGGCGTCCTGTGCCCGGCTCTCTCGCTCGGCGCACAGACAATCCAGAGCCTGAGCTGCTTCCTGCCTCGCTACTTCAAGTTCTTCTCTCACTGCTGCTAAGGTGCGTCTGGAGTGCTCTGATTGGACAGAGGCACAAATAATAACACATGAACTCAACCTGTGAACTAAATACAATGGTTTTCTACTCATGCAAAATGACACTGCATTATCAGTTGTACCTGATATGACTGAGGGCTCTGAACTCTCTGAATGCTCTTCCTCCTCTTCTTCATCTTCCTCTTCTCCGTGTGGTGGAGGTCTGAGTCTCTCCAGCTCCAGGAGGGCATCGTTGAGCCTTCTAGCCACATCCGCCCTCTCCCTTGCCAGCTGCTCACACTGGAGTCCCAGATTCACCTGCACCTCCTCCAGCTCCGAGCGGGGCACACATTTCCTCAGTTCTCCCTCTAGCTCATGCAAACGCTCCTGAAGGCGATGGACCTGATCTCCATCTCCTGCTCCGCCTCCATCTTTTTCTGATAACCTGCTCTCTGCCAGGGCTGCCTCCAACTTAGCAACGTTGTCACGTAGGCACTTCACTGTTTCTGTATCTTCTATTTTGTCTTCTTTCTCCTCTTCCTCTTTTGTAGACTCCTTCTGGGCCAGAGCAGCCTGGAGTTCCTTTACTTTCTCTGTCAGCTGTTTGATTATGTCACTGTCCGAATTGCTCTGACCCCCAGCCTCACCCGTTCTTTTAGAAAGCTCCTCCTCCAACTCTGTCACCCTGGCTCTCAGCTGCTCTGCCTCCTGGCTCAGGCCCTCCTCTGAAGCCCCAGCACCTGCTGCAGCAATATCCCCTATACCACACTCCACAGAAAGCACCCCGACACGCATCTGCTCCTTTAGCTCCTCCAGCTCAGATTTGGAAGAGGCCAACTGCTCCTCCAGCTCACGCAGCTTCTCCTTCAGAGCTTCTGTATTCTCTGAATCTGCAGCTCCTCCCTGAGAGCGCTCATCATCACTGCAAAATAACAGAGACTTGAAGTGAAATTAAGAAAACATGCTAGATTCATATGAGTGAGACGTTTAGTTATTACAAAAAAACAACAAGCGCACAAGGTGATGTCCTCCAAAAAAAACAAAAAAAACAATGTAAATTCTAATCAATTATAAATATTTAGCCTTTATGAAAACAAGTTAAACAAACAAGGGTGTAAATGAGTGACTGCTTCAGAATTAGATAACACTTTCTCAGTGTATTATTGAAGTGTTTTGTTGCTTAGCTGCAACACAGATGAGGTTTTATATTTTTTCAAAGAAAAATAATACACATGATGCAACAGCAGTCATGAAACCTTATGTCACGAGGACTCAATTTGTAAACAAGCACATTTTAGAATGAAGGCCAGAGCCAGTGAACGGGAACTCTTCCTGTGATTCTAGTTTGAAGTGGTAGCATTTCAAATAAATTCTTACTGCTGCTCTTCCACACTTGAAGCCTCTGCTGAAGCCTGGGCCTGAGAGAAGCGCTCCTGAAGAGTTTCATACTCTTTTCTCAGGGTTTCATACTGAACCAGAGGGACAAAGTCCGAACTGGAGGTCTGCATGTCTGTGTCATCCTTCTCGAACATCTCCAACATCTGTACACAACAGAGGTGAAACTATAGCAGCTTATTAAAAACTCAGTTAGCTTCAATATGTGAGCCCAACAGAATGTGCACAGAAAATTCAGGTAGTGTCGTTAGAGTACCACGTTTTTGTGACAGTGTGAGCACATGAGCATATACTGCCAGTTCAATTCAATTTTACTTCAGTTTATTTCAGTCTTTATTGAGTTTGGACTTTTCATGTTTCCAGTGGGGAATGAACAATCACACTATAACAGAATGCTTCATAAAACCTTCAGCACTAATAAGCTCTGATTAACTTCAACTAGCATGAACCGGTCAGCATAGAACGCCTGCAAAATGCCTCCATGTCTACATCTGATGTTGCTGCGTTCTATTTATACCTAAATGAACTAACTGCCTGGGTACATTAGTGCACCAAAGTGAAGCATCCCAAAGTTTAAGTGGTCATGACTAATGCTTGAATGAAGGACACTCAGCAACTCTTGAAACAGAATCTTCATCTCCTGCCAGGAAACCAATTAATACTCTTTTGACTACCAATTTATCTTTGTTAATGAGCCAACATAATGAAGGCATGAAAATGGTGTCTGTGCATGTGTGAGAGTAGGTACTTATGCATTAGCTGTGTATTTATGCATTTATGCTGCCTGACCTGAACTTTCAGAACAAGTTCAGCATTCTGGGAAGTAAGTTCCTCTATTTGTTTATGCAGCTCAGCAACAGCTCCTGGGTCTGCAGGGGCAGGAGAGGGGCTGACTGAGTCAATGTCCGTTTGAGAAGAGGCCTCATCCTGAGCAGGGGAGGCTCTGGAGCGCTTGGAGAGCAGCTTTTCTAGAGCGAAAGTTAAAAAGAAACAAAGACAAAAATAAATCAGCATGACTCCCTGACATGAAAGATGTAAGAATACCCAAGTGGCACAGCAATGACACCGGCATGAAGTGCATGCACGCTCTGTGCTAGGGACGGGAATGCTCACAAATACTTGGATCGCATACCTGGGAAGTCCAGCATTTCATCCAGGTCCTCAGAGTCACTCGCCCCAATACCATGGACTGGTTTCAGTTCCTCAAGCAGTTTGTCCCTCTCTGCCTCTGCCTCCTCCAGACGTTTCTTTAGTTGGGAAAGCTAGTGAGCAAACACACATAATATTGGCCACTGCAGTTGCATTCAGAAAGTACAATTTCAATCACTCAAGGTTTAAACAAAATAAGGGAGTGCACGCAAAGCATTAAGGAGACTCTTGTTCAGTACCTCCTCCAAGGCAGAGAGGGCACTCTGCTGCTGCTGCTCCAAGGCTTTGATCTTCTGGAGCAGACGGCCTCTCTCCAGACGCAGCCGCCGAATCTCCTCAAACACCTCCTCGTCTTCAGCCTAAAACAAAACAAGCAAAAAACAACCCAACACAAAATAATTAAACCAACAATAGTCTGCCTTTTATGTTAAGATAAAGGAAGAAACCCTTAAAAGCCAAATAAGAGCCAACATTACAGTGCTAACCTGGGGTGACTGCTGGGTTTCTTGAGGCTGGGGAGAGGGAGGTGGGGACTGGGACTGATGGGGCTCTGGAGAGTGGGCAGGAGGAGCTGAACTCTGGGACTTTTGGGAAGGTGGCACACCCTGCATTTTTGAGATCAGAAAAAAAATAATCAAGAGAATCACATCACACAGATCAATAAACAATCCAGTTAATGTTTTGAGAAGCAATGTTGTAGCTTAGAGATTTCACCAAAGAAATGATGGTACAATTGGTATAAACAGGGACACCTGCCAATTCTTTCAGAGTGCCAAGTGGAGCTGTAAACTAAAAATTCATTCACATCTTTTTATTTCCTACAGTCAATCACAAGAAAATCTTAGGTGTAACATTTCTCAACTATTAAACTAATATCACTTCATGTTTAGGGTACAGGAGATACTGACAACACTGAACAGAGAAATGTTTCGTGCCCACTAACATGTTTCTTACAGTACCTGAAGAGGAGACCGAGGTGGTGGAGGAGCTTTCCGTTTGCGGGGGGTAGTCCCCCCTTGCACTGATGAAGCGGCTGAGGGGGTTTGAGAAGGCTGCATTGAGGTGAGAGGGTGATAACAAGCAAGCAAAGATCAAACTCAACTTAAAAAACAAACAAAAGGGAAAAAATGGAGAAAATCAAGATGAGACAAAAGGTCGCCAACTAAAGAGAAAGAAAGCCAACAAAAAGAAAGCAGCACAAAAAAACAAAACAAAAAAACCAATGACCTCATATTGGAAAACATGCACAATATGATTGCCAAAGTGAGCCATGATCTCATTTATGGAAGGAGTGATGCAGCACAAGAATATGCAACATTACCTCCTCCCCTGCGCCCTCAGAGACTATGTATGCATAGGGAAAGAAACATTAAAGCACTTAAACCTCATTTGCACAGAGACTCAGAAAACAGCTAGAAAAACATGCAGACAATGCCCTGAAATCCCTTTCTAATATGCAGTTTACATGGGTGCCATTCATGTATTATGCAGTAAATCTATGAAAATCTCTCAAATTATTATGAACCGATGTGGTCAGGCATCATGTGCACACCAAATTACCTCCTTCATCTTCTCAAAAAAAGTCAAACATCTGTTTTCCATGTAACCTATCAGCAAAGTCTTTGTTGAGAGATAAAAGCGGAAGCAGCCTTTTTCATTTTTATGCCCCACTTTACAATCACGCCCAGCTGTCCTTCTGATCCACTTCCCTCTATTACAGTTGTTTTCCAAGGAGGCCAATGAGAATGTCTGGATCTGGAACATCACAGCAACTCAAACCATACTCTGGGTCTGATTATCTCTGGAAAGTCACTGTGTACCATGTGTTACAGTGGGGATCAGAGTAGCTGTGTTTTCACCATTCCCAAACATTCAGTAATTTGACTGATTATCTGAGCTGCACTACTGAGACAGGTCTTTTGAGATCTTAGAACAAAAGAAAATGCAAACACTACTGAAAGAAGACTTGGGCCTCATACCTGAAGGTACTCCACCCTGCAGCATCTCAATGATACGTTGGTTGCCTGTGGTTACGCTGTAGTCGGTAGCTTTGTGTCCGAGGCCGTCGACCAGCTGTGCGTTGGCCCCACCTCTCAGCAGAGCCTCCACAGTCTCAACGCTGTCACTCTCACAGGCCAGCATCAACGCAGACCTGTGACCCCACACAATATATAATTACAAGGCAATAAAAAAAATACTTACGATGAGGAATGCAATACAAAAAGAAACTACAGAAGTATTAGAGAATGTTTATTTCTTTCCAGGCCTTCACTTACATATTGTGCAGAGTTATCTCGTTTGGCATGTCAATCATTGCAAAGTAAAATATGCTAAAAAAAAGGCGCAATGTTTCATTTTGTTCAAAGTTTCCAGTTATAAAAGTCAGGATGTGTTTTGAAAAACAAAAAACAAACACACTGCAGGATACTCAATATGAAGCAGAAAATACTGCAGTTTTTCATTTTATGCCAAATTTGTGTCTTTTCCCTTGTTAATTTTAACCCGAGGACTGTTCTCTAGTAATCCTCTCCAAGGGGCCATCTAAAGCCAACCCGAAAGCTGTTGCCCCAGCTGGAGATCCTGACCTGCATCCCTCCAAATCTCTCGACTACTGGAGTAATTCTATGGGAATCCTTTCTGCAGACCCAGACTGCTGTGGGAGTAATCCTGAAGAGATTTTATTTTTGTTCTAGCTTAGCTAGGGGTTTCTAGTGGTTTCATGACACTTTCTAGTGATGTGAAATTCCAACCTGTTTGACACTTCAGTCATTGCATCTATAATGATTTCAAGAAACAGGAAATGAAGGCCCAAGCAGTCATACCCTGCCTCACCAAGCCATGCAAGGAAAACAATATTTGGGATACTATCAATAACAGTTCACTACCTTCCTTGATTATCTTGTATGTTTGCATTTGCACCTCGACCCAATAGAAAGACACACAGTTCCACTCTACTCATCTGGGCTGCCAATATCAGAGGGGTGGCCCCGTCCTGAAAAAATAAATAAAAATAAATAAAATGTATTTTTGGTCAGCAAAAACAGCAAACCAAACAGCTAAATTGTCAAACTTACAGTGTCCTGGGCATCCAGATTGGCTTTAAAGTCCCACAGGGTCTCAGTGCAGGACATGCAACCACTGACCGCTGTGAGTATAACCAGCGTTCAGGCAATTAAAAGTTTGCATATAGTACGTTTTGCAATGACATGATTAAATTCAACTGAATTTCTAAACAGAACGATCAATAAAATCTTGTTATAAGCAAACTGTTATGGAATTAAATAAACTGGTGTAATAATTTTATGCTGTAACAGCGACCTGCAAGATGGAGCGGTGTCCTTCCAATGCTGTCCGTGCAGTCTACCGCCATTCGTTCCTGTTAGAGGAAACAAGCACGCATCATTGGTAACCGGATAAATATTTAAAATAATGGCCATTATTTTTATTAATGATTTCAATAATTAATTGATTAGCTATGGTGTCATTGTTGGGGGGGGTTTTTTTTTACCTGTAACAGTCTCTTTAAGCACTCAGACTGGCCATTTTTGGCTGCAAGATGAAGGGCGCTGAAGCCTGGAGTCAGACAGTTACATGTATTTTATAAACAGCCCAGTGGCTTACAGGATACAACTATGTTTCTGTTTAATAAAATCCCTCACCAGCCCCATCGGTGACGCTGATGTCTGCACCATGAGAGATGATAACCTCCAGACAATCTAGCCGGCCTCGGGATACAGAGAGGTGAAACCTGTCAGGAGAAACAGGACATGCCACCACATCTTACAGGTGAGAGGATAAAAATAAAAAAGGCTTTTATTTCTGGATTTCTATTGCAAAATGTCACAATTAGTGATCCTTCTCATCAGTTAAGTTTCAGCTCAAGATTCTAGTTACTTTTATTTACACTTGTGGTCATAGATTGACATTCCCTAATTATGGACATGAATGTGATTGTAATTTAAGTTTTTTAATGATTTCTTTGGACAGTTTTTTTCCCAGAGTTTTAATTGACTAAGGTGCACTTTTTGGTAACTGTTGGTAAGTTTCTGGCACAGGTCTAGCTGATATTTGACCACTCTTCTTGGCATAAATGGTAGAGTTCATTTGAACTGATTGACTTCCTGGTACTACCTGGCTACAAATTTTCAACAGGGTTGAAGGCACAGCAGACTTAGGCACTCAACTTACGCCGACTTGCCCTCAGCATCCAGCTTGGTAGGACAGAGACCTTTTTTGACAATGAGAGCTGAGACTTTATCGGGTTCATTCTGCTCCACAGCCTGCAAGAGCCTTTCATCACTCTTACTCCAGTCCTGACTCTGAGGGGGCCAAAACAGAGAACAGGTCACCATGAAAACTGATACCGTACCACTTCTCTTACCATTCAACACAACAGATGACTGAGAAATATGGAGCAGTTAGAATGGGCAACAACTAGTGATAATGATCCAGTAAAGAAAAGAAAAACACAGTAAAGACAACAGAGCACAACAATTGTATAGTTTATGCAAAATAACTTAAATACAGAAATATTATAAACTACGGAAGCAAAAAAAATCACTTATATTTCTATGTGATACCTACTGGCAGCGGTAGCAGGCTGAAACAAGGACAGAACCTCTTCATCAGGCTATAAACAGGCTGTTGAGGATCCATGCTGCTAACAGGGTGTCACACACAACTAAATACAGCTACAGTATACGAAGCCACCGCAGTGTTTCCTATCAGACAATACACACTGCCACCTGGCTTCATAACAATACAAACACACTCCAAATGATCAAGAAGAAAAATCAGCTACCCCTAAGTTTCTTTAAGCTACCCTTTAGAGGTCAGAGCAAAAACACAGCAAAGCTCTACCTACCAGAGAATTTATGCTCTCGTGAAATCATACCTCCAGTGAAAACGAAGGACTGTCACACATAAACTGTGACGCACGTACACATAACACAGCTATTTTCTGTCCTCCCTCTCCGCATTTAAAACAGCATCCTTTCGTCCTGCTCCAGCTGCTAGCAGAGTCGTAACAGTCTATCCACTGCACCACACACACACTCTCCCTCCTTTCCTCACTGCCCTCCTTTCTCTAACCTAACATTTTCTCTTGTGCCTTCCTCTCTATAGCCACCTCATTTCTTTTCTTCATTAGTTTTTTTTTTTTTTGCCAGGTCTTCCAACAGTACCCCTTGGCGTCAGCGTCACAGATCTGTGCCTCTGCAGCTTCAGAGTAGGGCCTGTGCGATGTGAGGACTCAGCAAAAACAGGAAAAGGGAGCTGGACAAGCTGCACGCTGCTCTGCAGGTTTGGGACGTCATTTATAGGGAACGGGAGAAAAGCAAGACACAAACACAAATAGGTGCAAACCACAAAAACAGGACAGCCCGAACTAGCAATTTTACCTATCTGGCCTCTTGGAGTGTTAAGTTATACTCCACACAGTCTCACCTAAAGAGGTAACCTTCATTGCCACTAAGTCAGAGTGATACAGCACAAAGAAAAGCCTATAATTGTTCTAAAAGCATCACCACCATGAAAATGCTAACACAAGTAGGTCTAGTTAGATAAACCAGCAACTTTCAGTGCAGCCTATCAGTTTGAATACACCACACTGCATCGTGTAGAGGATTGCTATAATTCTCTGTTGGTTCTTATTTAAAAAGTAAAGTTAACATTTTAAACAGCTTTCATGTGAAAAGGGATGACAGCAGGATAATAGGAGCTATTTGTGTGTGCATGTGTGTGTGTGCAGGTACATGTGAATAATTGAGGGCTACCTGAGATCTCTGGTTACAGCTGCAGTCTGGAGACAGTCCTGCCTTCCTGCTGCTCAGTGACACCAAATCCCACTGCCCCCCATTACACATACACACAGAAAGCAACCTGGGACTGTATAAATGACTACATAACACAGTCCAGTTCAACACCTTAACATTCATTTAAAAACCAAATAACTTGAAGCAGCATATCAGACAGGTGTGCTCCTTTAAAATATACCCACCTGTAAAACTCAAGATGCCACACAACAGATGGCTCTTACCTCAATCTTTTTAAATTTTGCTTTCAGGCTTTTCATAACGGTTGGACAGCCTTTGTCTAAACAGGTGCACTGCAAGGTAAGAATAAAAAAGAACTAAAGTTAAAATGCTAGTGTAATTCTCAGTGGGTCTTAAGGAGGGTTTGATTCATTTACCCATTACTCAGCTCTCAACAGTGGACCAGCCACAGGGTAAGTACAAAAATTTGGGGAGTACATAGGGAATGCACCACCAGGCTAGCATCAACACTAACGCAGTTCATGCAGACACACAATTACACAGCTGGAGAAACGTGCAGCCTACCCGTGGACGACCGTCTAGCTCCAGGTGAGGGTTTCATCTGTCCCACGACCTCCTCGCGGCAAAATACTGAAGTCACTGCTGCCTGGCGGACAGCAAGAATGCGCCCGCCCTAATCGTAAATTAACCAATCAGCACTGCAGGAAACGCCGGATCAGCGTTTGATTGGAGATGATGGATGGCAACTTTGTTCTGTCGCGTGCAGCACAGCCAGCCAAAGGCAGACTTGTTCTAAAAGTTGTGGTTTCAAGAAGCGTAGAGAAGCAGTGACGAGCACAGACGTTTCATAGGGTGATGGTGACATTGTCGAGGTATTACGTCATATATAATTTGTTGTTTTGTCGCTGTTTTCTGCTGCGGGAGTCTCCTTGCCTCACAGTTCAACGCGGGTAGTGGTAGCGGTGGGAAAGTTCCACAGTTTAGAAAATTTTAGCCAATCACGGAAAGTAAAGCTCACCAATGGCAACACTGGAGGGCCCGACCCCGGAAGCAAACACCTTTATGCAATAAGAAAGAGTGAGGTGAAGGAAAATAGAATTTACCTTAATGTTACTGCATTACAGGTGCCACGTAAAGACGAGTGTGTGTTTTACTAGGCTGATTCGCTTTACTGCCTCTGCGGTTTATTTTTGTTTGCAGTTGCCCTGTTCTTTGTCATAACTGCATGACAAGTAAGTTAACTGTGGTTAAAGTGGGACATTGGTGTGCTCATGCTTAGAGCACATGGAATGCAATGCACACCAACCACCAAATGAGGGCAGTCGATGCAAGGCAGATGAAGCTATGGAAATCCGCTGCTTCTACAGGTCTGCTTTGCACCCCCCTCACTACCTCCTTTTGTCAAGGCAAACGCTGCTGACATTAAGATTAAACTCAAGGCTTTGATATATGTGTGCATCACTGTGTATGTGTGAAACCTGTAGCATGTTTGTGTTTGTCAAATTTCATAAATGATAGCACATTGAAGCCAAAATCTGAGTGAAGCTTGGAGTTCAGAGGAAATGTCACCTCTATATTTAGCCCGTTATAATGAGGCAGCCTTATTAATTCTATGAAAAGAAAAATACAGAGCTTCTTTTTCTGTTATGTAACTGCGGTTATTTTGCATGGAAAAAACTGCAGTCACTATTTACCTGTCTGATTGTGTGCCTGTCAGTCTGACTGTCTCTGATTTCATGTCGGTGAGAGATCCAAATTTTCCATTTCAGTTTTTCTCCCCTCTGTGCTCTCCATGTGTCCTCCTCTTGCTCACTCTGACAGCTTGCATGTCTGTTCATCTCTGATTGTTCCATCTACTGCTTAGTCTCTGTCTTTGAGTTCTGGCTTTCACCCTGGTCGGGATGGAAATAAAAAATTAGATGTGTCCTCAATATGGTACTCGCTGGGGGGTTAGAGGAGGTGTTGGATTGAAGGGATTGTGCAGATGAAAAAAGGGGAAGGTGTGACTAAGGGGAGGGGGAAGAGAAGAGATATTACAGCTACAGTGAAAGATATGACAGGAGATAAAAATTCAAAGGTGGAAAAGAAAGGGCAGGGGAAGAGATATCGGGAGCTAGTAAAGCTCCAGGAAATAATGACAAGCAAAAGATGGCTTTTTTCCCGTTGTCATCTGGGAGAAAAGATTGTAGGTAATTTGATAACATGATTTTGTGGGGATGGCATATTTTTGTTAATAAATATATGGATCTAATTCCCATAAGATAAAATCTTTAGCACAATGCCCATATGATAACGACTGATTCTCAGACTACTTAAACCTCACAATGAGACTTTGTCTTCAACTCTGGAAACTTTCTTTTCCCCAATAAGAATAATGGCAGGCATTTAGTGGCTAGTGAAATTGAATCCCTTCCTCACATTTACTGCTTCACTGCTATAATTGATTTAAATTGGGCTGCAGGGCCCACAAAGATTTGCATTCACACTAATAAAGTGCACTCAGATTTTTTTCAGAAACACCTGGAGCCATGTTTTTGATCTCTTGACCCTCTTTAGGTATGGAGCCAGTACTTGGTAAACACTGGTGGAGACAGACTCAGTAGGCACAATGGCGGAGATGTAAAAAGCTAGATGGGATAATGTTGATGGCTGTGCTGATAGTGTGGTGGGGGTGGATTCTAGCTTGCTGACCTCATCCTTTCTCTCTCACCCCTGGGAGAAAGTGAGCTCATAAAGAAAGAGGCATTTACGGTCTTTTAACAGACTTAGATGGTCCTTAACCGCTGTTGCACACAATCCAATTTTCCTGCCTGTGCAGTGGATGATGTGACGTTTGTGAGAGGATGAAACACATTCAGAGAGGTCAGTAAGGATTGAAAAGAGAAGATGAAACACAAACATCCTTAAGTTTTTCCTCAGAGTGGATGGGACTTGATGCCTTTTGGCATCTTGTTTGTGTGGTAGGGCTTTCTTTTGTTTGGTCCCTACAACCCTGATCATGTTGTCAACTGCGTGGGAAGCAGATGACATTTTCAGTACTATTAGTGCGTTTGAAGTTCCAAGTTGTTAAAGGCAAAATCATTTAACTTACCTAGACTGACGCTGAAACATTAAAATTGTCCAATGATGTCATGCGAATAAATAATGCACAAGTTTGGATGACATTCGTGCGAGGTGGGTTTTTTTTTATTTCTTTATTTCAGCTCCTAGATTCAGTTTTTGATTTGTGCTCCTCGTGCACCGCTTTAAGAGGATGCAGCTATTGTTGAAGCATGTGCGATGTGCAGATATTTCAATGAATGAACGGTCGGCTGACTGCGAAAGTGAGTAGGATGATATTCCACAGGGAATGAAGCACCTCCCCTTTAATCGCTCGGTTGAGTTTCTCTCGGAGCTGTAGTCGTTCTCCTCACTCGCGCATTTTCCGCCAGTCGTTGGAGGAACTCTGCTGGATTTCAGGGCTCTTGTGTTAGAAAGGATACTGTTTGTTTTGGGGTTTTTTTCTTGTGCTTTTGTGGAATAAAAAGTGGAAGTAGAAGGTTTTGACACTTGTCGGTGTCGTTTTGTTGTCATCGAGATGGAAAAACGCGGAATTAAGCATCCAAAGTGGCTGAAGGACTGAATTGGCTGGGTGAGTGAATGTGCTTTCGGAGCGCAGCGCTCGCTCTGGCGTTTAAATTCAGTGTTTTGGTCATTGCTTTTGAGGGGAAGTTTAGGGAAATCCGCGTATCTTCGGCTTTCTGAAATAAGACTGGGTCAAAACTGAACTTATTAATTTGTGTTCCACAAATTCCAAAAAGCGAAATCGTTAGAATTTAAAACAACTTATATTTATTTAACTCCTCGTTTATTTCTAATATTCTCTTCCACACTTTGCTTTTACTTTTGTATCACCGCGTTAGAGTCGCCTTTTATTGCTGGGGTG